AAGTGTCCTGTCCTGCCCCTTTAAGACTTCCAAAAAGCACTCTCTAAACCAAAACAACAACAGCAACAATGAAAGAGGTAAAAAAAAAAAAAAGGAAAAAATGCGCGATTTTCTTTGTCCTCAGGCGCCGGTCTCAGGCATCTGCTCACCGGTCTTGCTGCCTTGTTTCTGTAGTATTGGGGTCCCTGTCCCTTTAAGGCTTCCAAAAAGCACTCGCCAAAAAAAAAAGGGTGAAACGCACAATTTTCTTTGTCCTCAGGCGCAGGTCTCAGGCACCCGCTCACCGGTCTTGCTGCCCTGTTTCCCTAGTATTGGGGTCCCTGTCCCTTTAAGGCTTCCAAGAAGCACTCACCAGGAAAAAAGAAAAAAACCACTTCGGTTTCTTTACACCCACCGGGAGCCGGGGGAAGGGGCGCTCGGGTCCCGCCGGGCCAGGGCTTGTATCTTACCCCCTTCGTGAGGCGCTGGGTTCTTGCAGGTATGGATGTGGTCTGGATGTTGTCCTGTGTGTGTCCTCTGGTCTCTATTTTAGGAAGTTGTCTTTGTTATATTTTCATAATTCTATGTGGTTTTGGGAGGAGAGTTCCTCTGCTCTACTCACGCCGCCATCCTGGCTTCACCCCTCCATATGGCATCTTTTGTAATCCTTACAACTCTTTGAGACAGGTACAATTGTTATCCCCACTTTACAGATGAGGAAACTGAGGTACAGAGGTTACACAGAGTAAGTGGTAGAACTGGTTTCTAAGTCTAGACAGTTAGCCTCCATGACCTTTACTATACCAGTCCAAAACACTTAGGGATGCACTTGAGGTTATTTAAAATGTGTTAAGTCCTTTGATATACTCCTACTGGTCCTGAACAAAAGCCCCCAGCCCAGAGATGTATGCTGCTTTTTAGATAGCTCACTCCAACTGAGGAAGTGATAGCAGCTTAATCAACTCAGCATTTTGATCACCCATTTTGTTAAAACATTCCCTGACCACAACCAGGGTTTCTTCTGACGCTTCTTAAGATCTCAGAAGCAAAGGCTCTGATGTCACTCAAGGAGTTAAAGTTTGAGCTTGGACTCTCGATTGCTATAAGCCTGAGTTTAAATCCTCACTTTGTCTCAAACTATAATCTTAGAAGAGTTCAATGATTCTCCTGAGCCTCAGTTTCCCTCCTTATAACATAGAAATAATAATACTGCTTGCATGGGTTCATGAAGATTTGATGAGATGATGGGCTCAAATGTTTGCCAGCAGAGTCTGAAACCCAGCAGTGCATGAGGCTCCTATGAGTGCACAATGAATCACAAGTATTGTTCGGCATCCCCTTCTTGTGGTCAATACCTGTTGTTTCTGCCTTTACCCCTTCTTCTAGAAAAAGCTCTCTAGTTTTCCTTGTGAATAACTTTTCCTCCACTAGGTAGAGTCACTGAGGGACTACCTATTCCTGGCTAGGGAATGCAACATAACCTCAGCCCAAACGAACACTCTCAGAATGGAAATCTTTAGCTGCGTTCATCCAAAACCAAAGGGGAAAATGCACACAGGGAAACAAACAACACCAACAGGGAACAGTTGTTGGTCCCCACTGTAGAACGCAGACAAGACTGGCCATTAGCTCCTGTTGCCTCAATAACTGGAGATTCCCTGGTTCCTGTCTTTCCCGAAATCTGATTCTTTGAATATCCTATAGATTCTTTGACTCTCTCACAAACTTAAATTTCCATAAACTTAACTCTCCACAAACTTAAGAGTCTCCAGTAAACTTAAGTTAGGCAGAATTGGTTTCTATTGCTTGCAACCAAAGAACTTATACTGACCTATTTTTTCAAGCAAAGACTAGGACTCTTAAAGCATAACAAGTCTTTAATCCCCTTTCCCTACTCCTACGGACAAAGGAAGTGCATTAGCTATCCACCGATGGGTAACAAAATATAACCAAACCAAGTGGCTTTAAACAATAAACATTTATTATCTTATAACTTGTGTGTGTCTGAAATTTGGGAGCAACCTGGCTGAGTGGTTCTAGCTCAGGATCTCTCAGGAAGGCTGCAGTCATCTGAAGGCTTGGCTGGGGCTGGAAGATATGCTTCCAAGATAGCTCACTCATGCGGCTTTTGGCAGGAGGCCTCAGTTCCTTGTTACACAAACCTCTCAATAAGGTACAGATGTTGCCTTAAGTGCCTGCAAGATGTGGAACCTGGCCTCCCACAGAGTAACGGATCCAAGAGAACAAGATGGAAGCTAAGATGCCTCACCAGTCAGCCCTCTTCAATGTGAATACCAGGAGGCAGAGATGACAAAGGGACATCTAGAGGCTGGCTGCCACATAGGGGCAGCCTAGAAGCTCTGTCAGAGGTCTTTTTAGCCAACCACTATATTTTCACTTTAGCATTCCTATTCACCCCAAAAAGAACATCTCATTTCAGAAACCTGCAATAACTTACAAGTAATGCGTGGAAAGAAGAGGTAGACATTAAGAAAAAGCTGCAATAAAGGTAGGGTGAAGGTCTCCAATCCAAGAACCAGGTATGGAGAACTGGAAAAGAGGAACAGATGATCTTTAGGGAAGGGAAACACAGGCTTCACCAAGTCCAAAGATGAATAGTAGTATAATATATAAGTGTTCAACCTCACCAGATGCCTATGTCTTGCCCTTACAACCCCCAAAGAAAGCCTGATGTCTACTTCAGTCCTGCTTGAGTGAATTACCCTTTATTGCTCCAAATCCAAACTGGGCATGAGAACTGGGATCTGTGAGTCCAGGATTCTGCTGAGCTGTTAAAGGCAGACCTGTGTCCCCCTACCCACCAAATTCATATGTTAAGCCTAACTCCTTGTACTTCAGAATGTGACTGTATTTGGAGATAGGGCCTTTAAAGTAATTAAGTTAAAATGAGCCATTAGGGTGGGCCCTTCTCCAATCTGACTGATATCCTTACAAGAGGAGATTTGGACACGCAGAGAGATGCCAAGGGCACACACAGAGGAAAGGCCATGTGAGGACACAGTGGGAAGGCAGCCATCTGCAAGCCTAGGACAGAGGCCTTTGGGGAAACCTACCAACACTTTGATCTTGGACTTGCAGTCCAAAAAATGTGAGAAAATAATTTTCTGTTGTTTCAGCCACCTGTCTGTGGCATTTTGTTATAGCTTTCCAAGCATAATAAAACACAAGCCTTCTGGACTGTTCTGTAGGCCAGCTCCTAACCTCTGCTGTGCAATGTGGTATCAGAACCACACATGAGGGCTTCCTTTCCAGAGTCACAGAGGTGAGATAGGGTGGGGCTTCCATGGCTAACTCACAAGGATGGGCCTGCATGAAGCCATACATGCACTGGTGTACACCCATAGACTGTTTCCGCTCTTGGTTCCTTCTGCAAGCTTCGTGAGGGACTCAGGCCTCCTCCTCCTCCCCGATGAATGTAGTTTACATGTGAACAGGTTCCCAGGGCCACCTCCACTGTCCTGCACATCTTCCTCTAGCTGGAAAGCACCTTCTGTATTCGTTCCCGGACTTCCTTTGCTCCCAAGGACACCATCATCTCAGCCACGGGGGGTCCTTGCTGAAACCAGAAAGAGAAAACAGTGCCTTGTTGCCTCACACTGCCTAAGGAACTCTTGCCCAGCTTCAGTCTGCGTAAGTTATGTCTCACGCCAACCCCAACACTGCTACCTGCATCCCAAGGGGCAGAGTTTGCATTGTATTGTCTCTAATTTCTGCAGCTGAGGGTGGGTCCCAGGAATCTGTTTTTCCCTTATGTCTATTGCCCCAACTCAACCACCAGCTCTATAAAGGCAAGGAGTGTGCGTGTTCCATTCATACTGGATCCACTGTACCCAGCATGGGGCTGGCACATAGGAGGTACTCAATAAATATTATCTGTTGAATGACTGAATAAGGGAAGTTACCATGTTGCATTCATTTTTGTATTCCCAACACTGAGCTTAGTACACCACATAGGGGCAGCCTAGAAGCTCTGTCAGAGGTCTTTTTAGCCAACCACTATATTTTCACTTTAGCATTCCTATTCACCCCAAAAAGAACATCTCATTTCAGAAACCTGCAATAACTTACAAGTAATGCGTGGAAAGAAGAGGTAGACATGAAGAAAAAGCTGCAATAAAGGTAGGGTGAAGGTCTCCAATCCAAGAACCAGGTATGGAGAACTGGAAAAGAGGAACAGATGATCTTTAGGGAAGGGAAACACAGGCTTCACCAAGTCCAAAGATGAATAGTAGTATAATATATAAGTGTTCAACCTCACCAGATGCCTATGTCTTGCCCTTACAACCCCCAAAGAAAGCCTGATGTCTACTTCAGTCCTGCTTGAGTGAATTACCCTTTATTGCTCCAAATCCAAACTGGGCATGAGAACTGGGATCTGTGAGTCCAGGATTCTGCTGAGCTGTTAAAGGCAGACCTGTGTCCCCCTACCCACCAAATTCATATGTTAAGCCTAACTCCTTGTACTTCAGAATGTGACTGTATTTGGAGATAGGGCCTTTAAAGTAATTAAGTTAAAATGAGCCATTAGGGTGGGCCCTTCTCCAATCTGACTGATATCCTTACAAGAGGAGATTTGGACACGCAGAGAGATGCCAAGGGCACACACAGAGGAAAGGCCATGTGAGGACACAGTGGGAAGGCAGCCATCTGCAAGCCTAGGACAGAGGCCTTTGGGGAAACCTACCAACACTTTGATCTTGGACTTGCAGTCCAAAAAATGTGAGAAAATAATTTTCTGTTGTTTCAGCCACCTGTCTGTGGCATTTTGTTATAGCTTTCCAAGCATAATAAAACACAAGCCTTCTGGACTGTTCTGTAGGCCAGCTCCTAACCTCTGCTGTGCAATGTGGTATCAGAACCACACATGAGGGCTTCCTTTCCAGAGTCACAGAGGTGAGATAGGGTGGGGCTTCCATGGCTAACTCACAAGGATGGGCCTGCATGAAGCCATACATGCACTGGTGTACACCCATAGACTGTTTCCGCTCTTGGTTCCTTCTGCAAGCTTCGTGAGGGACTCAGGCCTCCTCCTCCTCCCCGATGAATGTAGTTTACATGTGAACAGGTTCCCAGGGCCACCTCCACTGTCCTGCACATCTTCCTCTAGCTGGAAAGCACCTTCTGTATTCGTTCCCGGACTTCCTTTGCTCCCAAGGACACCATCATCTCAGCCACGGGGGGTCCTTGCTGAAACCAGAAAGAGAAAACAGTGCCTTGTTGCCTCACACTGCCTAAGGAACTCTTGCCCAGCTTCAGTCTGCGTAAGTTATGTCTCACGCCAACCCCAACACTGCTACCTGCATCCCAAGGGGCAGAGTTTGCATTGTATTGTCTCTAATTTCTGCAGCTGAGGGTGGGTCCCAGGAATCTGTTTTTCCCTTATGTCTATTGCCCCAACTCAACCACCAGCTCTATAAAGGCAAGGAGTGTGCGTGTTCCATTCATACTGGATCCACTGTACCCAGCATGGGGCTGGCACATAGGAGGTACTCAATAAATATTATCTGTTGAATGACTGAATAAGGGAAGTTACCATGTTGCATTCATTTTTGTATTCCCAACACTGAGCTTAGTACGTCTGATGACTGTTAACTGGACAGACAAATGAGGGGCTCCAGGGAATAGTCCAGCCCATCTACCCGCCTCACCAGTTGTCCACTGAGAGCCACTCGGAGAAGTTTCATCACGCTACTGTGTTTGGTGTCTTCCAGACCTTCTGACAGCTTCTTCAGTTCTCTATTTAGCACGTCCTGAGTTAAGTTCGTACCAAATCCTTCTAGAAGCCTAGAAGAGGGCCAGTCTATAAGAGGCCTGCATGGGCCAATGGCAAATGGGTGGGAAGGAGAACTTCAGAAGATTATTGATTAGCTACAATATGAGTGGCACAACCAGAATTCAAGTGTGTTTGGGAGGAGGGGAGGAGAGGAGTATCTGTTACCCCATCCACATCCAAGCTGGGGAAGGAAAAACCACCAGGGGACCACATACACAGATAATCCAAGCAAGTGGGCATAATGTACGGAAAATAAGAGGTACCATATAGGAGGATTTACTAATTGGCTACTTCTGTGTCATGTAATCCACAGGCCTCAATTTTCTCACTTGTAAAGTGCACCTCACAGGGCTATGGTGGGGCTAAGTTAAAACTTGTAGAGCACAGGGTACACCACCTGAACAGATTGTAAGTATTCCAGAGTATTAGGTCTTATATTTCAGTAAAAAGTTAAATATTAGCTGATCTTTTTATTATAACCAAGAGCTCAGAGACATTGCAAGAGCATCTAAAAAGAAACTCAGGAATGGGTTAGACATTAGGATGGAAGAAGGAAGCTCTCTGGGAAATTATCTGAAACATAGCTTCAAAATTGGTGGGAGGGAGACTTTTGGGGAGATATGGTAAAGAACAGCAGAAGGAAAGAAATCAGGAGACCCAGCTCCAGTAAGGGTACTGCCACCAACTTGCTACAACCATTCTTTGCCCACAAACTGAAACATTTAATGAGATCCTCTCCCAAACGAGTGTCTGAGTTTCAGAGAAATTCCCAATTCCACAGTAGAGCTGGACTTGGAAAAACTTTGTCCCAGCCCTGACTCTAAGTAAGGGACGGGAGCTGAATCAGGTGGGTCTAGCCCACAGCCCCTTCCCAGTTCCCTCAGTTATTACTGGAGACTCTAAATGGAAAATGCTCAGAAGGGGCAGAAGCTGGAGGGCATCCCTGGTGCAGATGACATGCAGGCCAACTTGATGCTTCTTGCCCATGCTAGGGTCTAGATATCCCCACTCCCCAGGTGAGCTCAGTGTGGAGTGCCACTGGCTCAGGGAATTGGGTTACTAAGTAATTGAAGAGGCAGTCTTTCAGTGCAGATTTCCTTACTAACTCTAGTATTTGAGCAACTGAGTTTCAGCTTGAAGACAAAAGTAACTTCCTTACTGAGTCATTAACTGGGCCACGTGATTACTGTTATCTATGAAATTAAGGGGACAAAATATTGAAAATATAAAACATGATGTGGGAAAAAAGTAGACACTCTCCTCAGTGTCATTGTGGGGAAGCTCACAAGTAGCTGGTAGTGGAACTGGGTGCGTACCTGGCAGCACCGGGATGGAATGCAGGTGGGCTCAACCCCAGAGCTAGACACTGCCTCTGGACTCCTCTGGATAAGCCCTGCTACCAGTGACAGCAGGTGAGTGATCCCCTCACCAGGAGCCTGTCATGGCCCTGGGGCTGCGCTGCGGGCCCCACAGACGAGCCCTGGAGTAACGGAGCCCTGGGAGGGACAGGGAAGAAGGGTGCAGAGCCCTGAGTTCGGCCTGCAGGAACTCACCCCAGCACACGCCTGGCAATCACGTCCACCTTCTCCGAGATGGCACCCAGCTGTGCTCGGCCCACAACAGGGCGAGTCCATAGATAGGAGTGTGCTGGGGAGACCAAATCTTGCAGGCGGCAAAAGTGACCCTGAGGAAAGAGGCAGTTACTGACTGCACTGGGGACACCAGAAACGGAGGGCCAGGGGCACAACCCACTCCCTCAGTCTCCAAGCTCCCCAGCCCCATACCTGTCTCAGCAGGACAATCCTCTCCAGGTAGGCAGGGTCCAGAACAGCCCTGTCTTGCAGCTGGCTCCCATACGCCTCCTCCACCAGGGCCTGCAGCTTCCCCACCAGCTGGCGTCTCTGGGTCTCACTGCTCACCAGCCGACACAGGTGCAGCCTGTAAGAGAAGCCAAGGGACCCTCCTGGTGCTGGCATCTACAAGCCAACCCAAACCCTCCATCCCTAAGGGACAAATTGTATGGGCTGTCCCTCCCGCAGCCTAGAGGTGGGCTAATGAAGGAAGGGGAGCTGGCCAAGGTCTGAAACAGCCTGAGCACCCCAAACAGCCCAGACACATGGTCTTTTCAGTGTCTTTAAAATAGGAGGTAACATTTTAAAAGAGGAAGAAATCACATAAACATAGAGATTTTTGGTTTCTCTTGGGAAATCAGAAGACCTGGCTGCAAAGGGCCCTTATTCCTCATGCTTCAGCTGGCTGGGTGCCTACATGAGACCAACAGAGCTCCAGTTTGCCAGTCCCTCGGCTCCCTGGCATTTCTCACCTAGCCTGCTCTGCCTCTGTGCTACCTGGCTGGCCTCTACATCCCCCTGTATTTACAAAGCAGAAGCTGGAGTGTCTGCCTCCTTACACAGCTTGAAGCAAGGGGCTCTGGTAAAAAGGGACAGAGTTTAAGAATATGGATTTCTAGGTTTCAGAACCAAGGGACAGTCCAGAGGGCAGTTTCTTGAATTCAGGGCTTACAGTTAAAAAGTTCAGGTTGTCTTGTCAGTTCAAATCTTCTCCTTTCTAAAATTATTCTGTTTGTTCCCTCCTTTGGAAGCAGCAAAGCCTCTAAGAGTCCAACCCTCCAACCAGGCCTTGTCAGTCCTCAGCCTCTAGGCTGTCCTTAACCTGTCCCTGGCTGGATTAGAGGGACCCAAGAGAGCAAGTGGTGCAGGACCTCCCTCACAGGGCATTTGTGCAGATTAAATGAGGGACTATCTATAAAACACTGAGCACAAGGCCTGCATTACTGCCACATCCGGGAGCTGGAGACAGGCAGGGAGTCTGAACAGAAGCTCGGGCACGTCAGAGGGTGGAAGGATGAGGCCCTCTGGGAAGCTAAGTAGAACACACACTGGCCAAAAACATAATGTGTCTTTTTTTTAGGAATTAAGAAAAACCACATGAAATAGGTACAGAAATGATCATTATTTCTAGGCCCTCCTTAGGTACACAAGACAGTAGAAAGAAAGAAGTCAGAAGAGCCTGGTGGCCATGCTTGAGACCATCTGTGTGAGGTCCAGGGCTTGAGGCATGGTAAGTGCTAGATAAATGCCAATCACTGTCACACATCCACCCCATCACTAATACTGCCATGACTACTACTGTTACCATCTTTACTGCTGTCACTGAAATAATCATGGCAGTGGCTTAATGACAGAAGAATCTAAAGATCACAGCTTCGGCTGCACTACACTTGCGGGCATTAGCCCCTATGCTGGATCGCCTCCCTGACTCACATTAAGTAAAAAACTCACCTCCATCTTTCCCTGGCTACCCGTCATACTTCGGGGAGGCCTGGAATGGGTTACCAAGTATATCCTCTGTCCTGACCCCTCTTCCTTGAGAGACTGCCTTCTCTATAAGAAAGGTAGTGTAAAAGTTGCTTTCACTTTTGAATGCCCCTTTCAAGAGATGCCCACTGTTTACTGTGTGAGCTTGGGCTAGTTATTTAACTTCTCTACGTCTTGGTTTCCTCATATGCAAGATAGAGCAGAATCATACAACTTACTTCATAGGTCTGATGGGAAAAGTAAATGAAGTAACATCCTTAAAACACCTGCAGTCAATGGAAATTCTCTGGGTTCGTGCAAGTAAAGTACTGAGAAGAGCCTGTCTCCAAACCAGTGCTCAAGGGAAGGCTTCGAGCCCCTTGCCCACTAAGCACAAATCCATCTGCTGGCTTTACCACTAACACCCTTAGATTGCAACACATCAACAGTGATCTGAACAGTAATTGCGTTCTGGGGTTTCAGAGTGAAGAACTACTTGAGACTTGACACATCTGCCCTGAGACAGTGCTCCTTCACTGTGCTGGCTGTGGAGGGGAGGGTAGGATTCCAAAATGAAGATGCTCATCTCCAGGTGTGGTTGTCAACAGAATCCATCAAAGGGGTGGGCAGGCACAATGGCGATGATAAAAACAATTCCTACCTCTACCGGATACTTTCTATGTGCCAGGGATGTGCACAACACTTTGATGCAACATTTAATTTAATTCAACTCTTAAAACAACTGCACAAGGTGGGGACTATTATTAACTCCATTTTAGAGAAGGGGAGACACAGGGTCAATGAGGTTAGGTGACCTACATGTGGTCACATTAGACACCTGAGCCCATAGTCAAAATCTGGTCTGTGTGACTCCAGAGCTCACTACACCATCTGGCATGGGGACCCACCAGGACTCCTCCAGGTTCCCCACTCACCTGTTGAATTCTGGGAGCTTGTCCAGGTCCAGCAGGGCTGAGTGGCAGGTGACGCGGGTGAGGTCAAACTGTGTTATCAGCTCTGGCAAGGTCCTGCCTATCTGGTTCTCTGTAATAGAGGCATGCCCAGCCACTTAGCAAGCTTCCTCCCTCCATTTTCAATCACATGGGAGGCTGAGGGAGCATGCTCGGAACTCCCCATTCCAGTTTGACCAAAGGGATTCAACTTCTAGCTGTTTTATATATCAAGGGCCTGAATGAGCTTTCACTTGCAGAAAGGGTCCTGTCACCAAGGAAAAAAGATGTTTGAAATCAATCAGGCTAAACCAATCCCCACTGCCCTCAAAGACATGAGCTGCAACAATAACATTCTCATAGCCTGGCTGTACTCCAGAGATTCTGAACCTGTTGTTTTTTGGATGGGGTCTGAGCATCAGTATATTTCACAAACGTCCTGGGTGTTTCCAAAGTGCAGCCAGAGTTGAGAACCCGTGTGCTGGGAATCACTTCTCACGAGCAGCAGCTCCAGCCCACAGTTAGTAAGCACCGTGGTCAGGCAGAGCCCTAATATGAGCATCTGCCACGTCCCCTTCTAAGTTACTCAACCTCGCTGGGCCTCTTAATCTTCTTACGAACAGTGGGGATAATAAATACTTCTCAAGGATCTTTTAAGGATTGAATAAGAGCAAAAAACAGTAAGCAAACTATTACTGCTACATTTTCGAAAATCCCCTCCACCAACAGGTCTTCCTACTTGGTGCTTCTTTAAATCTTGGGCTATAAGTCTTGGGCCAAGGATAGGGGCAAAGCTTGGAATAAACTAGGGTCACAGTAATCTATTCAATATTGTTAGAGTATCTACTTGCAGTTGTGGTGATAATATTACTGTAATCATCACAGGACCTGTAATTTTGTGGTTATTGTGTAACAGATACTGTACTGGGTGCCTCCTGCTCATGAACTCAGTGAATCCTAACTTAACCCTATAAGGGAGACACTTAGCCCCATTCTACAGATGAGGCAACTGAGGCTCAGAGACCATAAGCTTCTTGAGTACACCTATCTTGTTCACTATTGTAGTCCCAGCACTTAACACAGTGTCTGGCTCAATAACCATTTGGAGTAAGACAATGAACTGTTGCAAGATCATGCAGCCAGCCGGTGGCATAGCTGGGACCAAAGACTAGGTGGGCCTGAACCAAAGTCCCAGCTCCTCACACCTATAGTCCCACTGACCTGTCAGATGGGCGGGTACCTGCAAATCCTGAGCCACTGTTGGTGATAATGTCAAGCAAGGCATCCGGCAGGAAGCCAGCAGCCACAAAATGCTCCAGGAAAATGTCCCCTTGCCTCTTGGAGAGCTTGCTGCCATCCCTGTTGAGCAGCAGGGGGAGGTGGGCAAAGCAAGGAGGCTGCCAGCCCAGGGCCTGATAGAGGAGCAGGTGCTTGGAGGTGGAGACCAGCCACTCTGAGCCCCGTAGCACGTGGCTGATACCCATGTGGTGGTCGTCCACCACGCAAGCCAGGTGGTACGTGGGGAAGCCATCGCTCTTCAAGATGACCGGGTCCCCCTCCACACTGGCCACTTCATGCCGATTCCAGCCATACACCAGGTCCTGGAAGGCTGGCGCCTCCTCCTTCAGGCGGAAGCGGATGGCGGGCTTGGGGCCTGTGGCCAGCTTCTGGGCCACCTGTCCCTGGCTCAGGTTCCGGCATCGGTTGTCGTACCTGTTGGGAAGCAAAGCAGTATAGCAGCCAAGTGTACTGGTGACAGGCATGAGGCCTGTCTGTCTCTGACAGGTGGATGACCTTGGGAAGTCATTTACCTCTCCAAGCTCTTCCTTCAGTCCTGAATGGGGATGAGGAGGAGGTTGGTGAAACCAAGTGTGGCAGATGTAAGTGTGTCTCCCTTCTTCCTTGCTAACGAGAAAATGACGAAATGTCTAGTCCCAGGGGCTGAATCATGACTGGTGTGGCTAATCATGCAACCCCATTCCTCTGTGCCAGTGACCGGTCTGGGTAGGAACATTCTACTCATTCTAAAGAAAAGTATGTGTGGGGGTCGGGAAGGGCTAAGGTTCTGGGAAAGATTTCCTCTTCAAGCAAGAACAAGAGAGCCACAAGAGGAAAATGCCTCTTTTTATTCCCCAGCTGCCCCTATCTGTGCTGTTCAGATGTTGTCCTCTGAGGACACAATGCTTGGAGCTGCCTCATCCTCTTATAACTGATGGGGTGGCAGGTGGTAAGGAGGCAGCGAGAAGCCAAAACAGAACCTTGATGTCTTGAAGCTATGGGTTTTATCCTGGGGTCCCCCACCACCAGACTTCTGCAGAGTAAGACAACTGTGTGGTTTGTGTTCTGGTTACACAAAGTGTGGTTAGATCTCCAGCATCAGCCTCACCTGGGAGCTTGTGGGAAATTCAGCACAGCAGGCCCCACCCCAGACCCACTGAATCAGAATCTGCATGTTAACTAGATCCCCAGGTGGTTCATTAAAATATGAGAAGCTCTGGTTTGTCCCTTTTAAACAGAGTAGTCTTTTACTTGCTGACAGAAGCATCTTGACAGCCAAATGTAAAGCCTGTAAGCACAGTCTTTGCCATGGAGCTAAGTGTTCACTCAGTAAATGGCTGCATGGATTCCAGGGTAATTGACGGTGATTACTTTTCAGAAGAAAAGTAACTGGCTGTCAATGGACAAACAGAATGTTTATAATAAAAAAGCAGTGCTGCAGGGAATGTCATGACCTTGTCCAAACATCCAAACCCTTGTCCAAATAGTTCACATAAGCTGGAACTCCAATGCTATATGCTGAAGCCCCGTAAAGGGCCACTGGGCAGTATCTATCAAAGTTACAAAGGGACTGGCAATTCCACATCTAGGAATGGCTCCAACACACACTGCACATGCACAAAATGATGGTGGTCAATGTTACTTGTCACAGCTCTATTTTATAACAAAATACAAGAAATGACATAGCAGTCCATTAGTAAGAAGCTGATTAAGTGACTGATAGCATATCCATAGGATGGAATACCATGCAAGCATAAAGAAAAATTAAGGACCAATAAGACTGATCCTCAGTAAGTGGATGGGGAGTTGCACATACTGTGCATGAACATTTGAATGGGGGAGAAGAGAAAGAATATGCATTTATCAGTGTAGGTATTGAATGTCTGTGGAAGAGTCATAAGAAAATTCTAACACCAGCAGTTTCTGGGAAACTGAGTAGCCAGAGTCAGGGTTGGGAGAGATCTTTTCATATATGACTTTCTGGATATGAAAAAATTTTACTTACTCAAAATAAATAATTGAAATTACTTTATATGTTACTGCCTGAGACCCAATGTGACACCAGTTCTAACAAGGCCCCAGTGATCCTCACTTCCTAGTGTTTCTGCCCTAATGTCTTCCCCTCCCCTGGTGTGGACTGGACTTGGTGATTTCCTTCTGATCAACAGAGTATGACAAAAGTCAGGAGAACATGACAAAAGCACTTAGCCCAAGCCAGAAGCCTCGATTAGGTTACCAAAAGACTTTAGCTTCCATCTTGCCTGCTCTCTTTGGCTCTCTCCTGGCTCACTCTGAGGGAAGCCAGCTGCCATGCTGTGAGCCACCCTATGGAGAGGCCCACATGGCAAGGGCCCGACATCTCCAGGCAACAGCCAGCGTGGCCTGAGTTCTCATGAGAGAAACAGAAGCACGTCTTCCGTGAGTCCAGCCTTGAGGTAACTGCCAACCTGGTCAAGACCTCAGCTGCAGCTCTGAAAGAAACCCTGAGGCCAAGGGACCCACATAAGCTGTGCCCAGACTCCTAACCCACAGAAGTCATCAGAAAATAAAAACTTGGGGGTAATTCATTAGGCAGCAATAGTCAATGAACACACCCAACTTTGGGACAGCCTGGAGCCCCTACCGGGGTGTCTGATGGTTCCTCAGGGCCTCCTTCTTCAGGAGCTCGAGCCGCTGGGGTGAGCAGAAACAGGGGTAAGCAGTGCCTGTCTTCAGCAGAGCTTCTGTGGCCTGGGCATACAGCTCGAGTCGCTGAGACTGCCGGTAAGGCCCGGCAGGACCTCCCCGGCAAGGGCTCTCATCAGGGGGGATGCCTGGAAGCCAGAGGGGAGACTTGTCACCCAACGATGGTGACTAAGACACCCTGCCATGGTTTCATATACTTTACAAGTACAATAAAGCTTTTAATCCTCACAACCATCCACGAGGTCTCTACAATTAAAATTTCCCTTTTGCTGATGCAAAGCTAAACTTCAGAGAGGTCAAGTGCTCAAGGTCACATGACCTGGTGGATAAGGAATCAAGTGGAGGAGTATTGGGTCCACATCCATGCTCTCAAGTGCACATCCTCTCCCTCCATCCTTTCCCTGGGGAGAGAGAAACAGCCCAGGCCTGAAACAACTGACTCAGGAGAAAGCAGCATGGTTCGGGGCATAGTGCATCAGGCCCTGGCTGGACTTCTGCCTCTGCCCAGCCAGCTGTGACAAGAGATCCTGAAGATGTGCATGTGCTGAAGTGCCAAGCACTGGCCAGGCTGCATTATGATTTGTGATCTACATTAGGCCTGAGAACCACCCTTCCAGGTAGATGCCATTCTGATCCCCATTAAATAAGGTCACTTAGGCACAGAAGGCTTTGTTACACCATTTGGCCAAGGATGAGGGGTACAACTAGATTCAAACCCAGGCTCACTGCTTCCAGAGTCTATGCTCTTAACCACTCATTGTACTGACACAATGTTCCTTAGTTCCTTCTCTGAAAAGTGGAGTTGGAGTTAACAGTCTGCCGTGCAAAGTGATGGTGAGAGCTAGATGCTTCCATGCTTACAAAGCGCTTAGTTCAAGGACTCACATACAGAACCATTGCACTACATGCTGTTAGATGAAATGTGATCTGTGAAAAGCCAAAGCCCCAAATCAGGGTCAATGTCCTTAGGTCACAAACCACAACTATAAACACTTCTAGTAGAGGCACAGGGGACATGGAAGAGCTGGGTGATAGCATTTCTACTTTCAACAACTTTAAATGAATTAGGAAGATAAGGACAGGGTTGATCCTGCATATTGGATGTTAACACAAACGTTGGAGGCAGAAGGGCCTGGGCTCAAACATGCTGGCAAGCTCAGAGGCCTTGGGCAAGTCACCTTTCATAGCCCATTTCCTCATCTGTAAAAAGATACAAATAGTAAACCTCCTGAGGGTGGTCAGAGTGAGCTCGAGTGAGATGAAATAGGTGAGGTGCTCAGCACATTGCCTGGCATGTGCTAAGCACTGAGTGAGTTTGGGCTGTATTACTAGTATTATTTAGCTCCCTCTACCACTGGGCCTCTGTTTCTTCATTCGTTAGAACAGTGGGTTGAGTTAGGTATATTTGGGGGCCCCTTTCTAATCTATCTAACCTTAATGTGTTCAGCATTTGGTATGTTCCAGGTTTTAAGGGTGATTCCATTATGGGAACTGAATACATATGTTCACATAAAACTGGTAAGGAAGTTTGTAGCAGTTTTATTCATAATAACCAAAAGTGGAAATAATCTAAATGCCCATTCCACTGATGAATAGATAAACAAAATGTGGTATTTCCATACAATGAGTATTATTAGGTCATAAAAGGGAGTGAAGTACAGATGACCTTTGAACCACACAGGAATTAGGGGCACCAATTCCCTGCACAGGCAAAAATCTGAGTGTAACTTATAACTCCCACAAAATTTAACTACTAATAGCCTACTGTTGGCTGGAAGCCTTACTGATAAATTGCCCATTAATACATATTTTTTATGTTATGTGTATTATATGCTGTATCCTTAAAATAAAGTAAGCTAGGGAGAAGAAAATGTTTTTTCAGACTGTCTCAAATCTCCAATTCTGGTTCTGCTGGCTTCTCCTTCTCCCTACTACTAACTACTGCTATATATATGTTTCCTAGACCAATCAAAGGGGACAGCATGCGTGACCTTTAACTCTATTGGCGACAGGGCGGAAATCATGCAGTGTGCACGAGCACGGAACTACTTATAAGGTCTGGGAGGGGGGATTCTCCTACTCGGCAGAGTGGATGCGTGTGATGTGCCATTACCGGATGTGAGCGCCATCTTAGAAGGGCTGGGGTCCGACCTCGGCCGCGGCTTGGACCCCTACACTCCAAAAATTTTTCAATATATTTATTGAAAAAATCTGTATAGTAGCCCCACACAGTTCAAACCCATGACAAGTTCAAGGCTCCACTGTACTGACACATGCTACAATACAGGTGAACCTTATGGTAAGTAAAGGCTAGTCATAAAAGGTCACAGGTTGCATGATTCCACTTATATGAAATGTCCAGAACAGGCAAACCAGAGACATAAAGCAGATTAGTGATTGCCAGCAGCTGGTGGGACAGGGGAACGGAGAGTGACTGCTAATGGGTGCAGGGTTTCATTTCGGCATGATGCAAATGTTCTGGAATTAGACAGTGGTAAGGTTGCACAACACTGTGAATGTATCAAAAACCAGTGAAATGCACATTTTGAAATGGTGAATTTCATACCTTGTGTTTATGTATCAGTTAAAAAAAAGAAAGTGACTCTGGAAGCAAGAAGCTCCAGAAGTGCGGCCTGGATTGCCCTCTACCTTACCAAAATCCTGGAAGGGGTGCTCCACTGAGGGAAGCAGGCCTCACTCACACCATCATGCTACACAGGGGGCTCCATGAGGGCAGGACTTGCCCGTCATCCTACTCTTCATGCCTTGTACAGTGCACACAGGCACTCCATGAAATCGAAGTTCTCATCTTGGCTGTGTGGCACTACCAGATTTGGCTCCTACCAACTTCTCTGCCCTCACAGCTCTTGTCACTCTGCTTTGCTCACTGGGCATGGACCACACTGGCCTCCCAGCTGCTCTCCTAATACACTCAGCACTTTCCTTTTGCAAGGCCTCTGCATAGGCTATTCCCTCTGCTTTGAACATCTTTGCCTAGGTAACACGGAGCTGGGCTCTCACTTTGTCCAAGTCTCTGCCCTAATGTTACATTCCCAGAGGCCACCCTATCTAAAAGGCACCCCTCCCCACTGGTTCCCTAACCTGTTACCTTTTCTCCATAGCACTTATCAATACTTCATATCATAGTAAGAATGCATTAACGTTTATCTGTCTTCCCCTACTTAACCAAGTATAAGGTTTTTGTTCAAAGCTGAAGAGTATGTGAATCACAGTAAGTCATCTTGGCAAATGAATTCCTTTATTCAACTAATCTCAACAGAGTCTGATATTTTATTTATAATAGAGGATAGAAATGAAATTTCTGCCCTTTAGGAACCAAGTATAGTTAATAATTGACCTGAAATTGGTATACATATCTCAAAACAATCTTGGTGCTATTTTTCCTTGGGGACCTTAACGAGTCATACCTGTCCCCACAGGTAGGCAACTTTGACCCAGGGAACACAAACATACTCCTCCTTGTCCTCTCTGAGCTTAGTGTCCTCAGAATTAAGCTTCCTAGAAGATCAAATTCAGAGGCTGCACACATTTTGTTTGGCTTATACAGTGTTGTTAAAAAAAATAAAAATCTGAGCTCAGGTTTAACAATGGGAAGTATTCATTAAGGAAAAAACAAAACAAAACCTTAGATTTCTGGCTCCTCTTGGAAATCAGAAGACTTGACAAACTGAACCAGCACTCCCACTTGGGAACAAGGGGCTGGAGCTTTCTCCTACTCACCAGAGGCCTAGGCTCTCCAGTGTCATCTTGTGCTTTGCCTGTGTTTCCCGCCTGCTCTGAGATTCTGAGATAAGAACACAAAACTCAGAACAGCCTTGGTGCTTTCTTTCAGGAAGATTTTAGGTGGTATCTGCCGCCCCAGGAACCACAAATGTATACATCTCTCCAGGAACTCCCATTCTCCATCTCAGGTGCCATGAGAAAACCTAGAGGCTCCTTTCTCCACTCCCCCTTCCCCCTTAGGGAAAGGGGGAGAACCTACAGGGCGCTTTCCCTGCCAGCCTCACCTGCCCACTCCAGCATGTCCTCAATGTTCTCTGCTGCTCCAGGCACAAGGCGGGTCTGATCCGTGTCCTCCAGTCTCAGAATGAAGCTCCCTTGGTGCTTCTTGGCAAAGATGTAGTTGTACAAAGCAGTGCGGAGGCCACCCAAGTGCAGGAAGCCTGGTGGGAAGAGAGAACAGCTCAGACAAGACAGAGAAGATAAGCTGATGGCCCTCAGCTGAGAGGCAAACAAGCTCTGCTTGTAACAAGAGTGTCCCAAGAATATCACAGCCCAAGAAACAGCTACCCCATCCCATCTCTCCAGCGAGCACGCAGACTCCCAGAGAAAAGGACTGGGACAGCTGAATCATTTAGCCCCTCATGCTGGAAGTAGAAGACCACCCATGTTTTGGAGCATGTCATTTTGTAAATCAGCTCCAACTCTTCCCCACTGTTCTCTTTGAGGTTTGTCTCAAGGTCAGGTTGCACCCAAATGAGAAGCACAGGATCATTCACTTAACTCATATCACAATTTAATTTATGCAAATTCAATGATGTGCTTTGGCAAAACAAAACTAATTACAAATTTAACATACTGTAAATTACATTTTGCATACACCTTCCTATGCACCATCATAACCATCCACATTATACCTTTTGATTCTACTTTCCATTTCCACCTTAAATTCTAGCTTTAAACACTTAACCAAAAGTAATATTCGATTCTGTTGTTTTTCTTTATCTGCACTTCAACTCCTAATATTTACTTTTTCATCATTCCTGATGGAAAGCAAAATTAAGTTTTCCCAGGGCTGTCATTCCCTCTTCTCTAACCTTTTTTGGTCCAGCCCACTGCCCTGTCTCCACAGAGGTCGTCTGCATCTCCAGGCAGAGGAGGCCACGCAGGCTATGAGAGGCTCTTCTGGGGTCAGGCAGGCTCCTATTCGACACTGATTATGTGTATGACCTTCAGCTAGTTATTGCACAGTGAACACAAAACCAAACGAAAAAACAACAGCAAAAAATAGAAGACAGGGGTCCAGTAATTGAAAGCAAGACCTCTTGAATCACATAAACTTGGATTCAAATTCTGCATTCACCATTCACTAGTTGCTAACCCTTGGGCACTCTAAACCTTGTTACAGGATTACTGTGAGGCTTACATACTAACCAAAGTACCCCCTTCAATGTTAGCTTTTGTAACGATCTATATTGCTTGATGATTCTTTTATCTGCCTGTAGCCCGTAAGCCTTTCCCATAAGGGCTGTTCCCACATATCAGCAAGGAAACTAGTAGTATAATCACCGTAATAGAGACCACTGTTTAATTGCTCTCTATAACCTTGTTAAGTGTCTCAGGTGCATGAACTCAAACCTGTAAGGCAGGTACTACTACCAGCCTTTTTGACAGATGGGAAAACTCTCAGAGGGGTTAAGTCCAAGTCACACAGCCAGGGAGTGGCAAAGACTGAAATTTGGACCCAGACAATCCCAGGCCGTGGCACTCAACTTCTACATGAGTGCTTCTCAAAGTGAGGTGCAGAACGGTGCTGGTCTGCAAATTGCTATCAGTTCACAACCAAGTACAGAGATTGAGAGTAAATGTCTAGACGTTTAGAGCAATTTGACAAGGCTCGTATTTTGCATGCTTTTAAGATTTTAATTTTTCTAGTAATTTATTTACACTGGTTTTATGAAAAGTATTGACCATAATCAACTGGAAATTAAAAACCAATCCTTTCACCATGGATGGTTTAAGTACACTCTACACTATACTGCCTGTCAAGAAAGCTCCTGTCACTCTGTGCAGCTAGGATCTTGCCACAAAGGCATCCTTAAGTAGAACCTGGTGTTAAGAATGGGAGTCATGCTGCGTTTGGAGAGAGCAGAAGGCATCTGAGTGAGAAAAAAATTTGTTAGGGTGGGGAGGCCCTATTTAATAGGATCTTCACTACGGTATATAATGAGAACCTGCCTCATTCTCTGGCTTGATAAGCTCCACCACCAGTAACCACAGGACCTTGGTACCTCTGGTACAAAGTATTTTCTCTACCCAAAACGTTACTCCTATAGGCTTCACACAGCTAGGTCCTTCCTTGTCTGTTGGTTCTCAGCTCGGAGGCCACATCCTTAACAAGGCCTTCTTGAGCCTCCTACCTAACACAAATCCCCTATTGCTTCATTTCCCGCATGGTACATGCGACTGTCTAAAATCAGTTATTTTGATAAGTGTTTCTCCGTGGTCACTACCATGCAGGCTTCTTGTGGGCAAGAACCCTACTTCTGTATGACCACTGTATCCCAGCGCCTAGAACAGTACCTGGCACACAGTTTGTACTTAATACACGTTTATTGATTACACGAAAAAAGAGACAGATGGTACAATAAACACCAAGAAATTCCTGGCAATGAGAATAATTTCCGCTCAAGAACCTTATTCCGCCTCTCTAAAACAGGGTCACGCTGCCCGACCAGTCTGCTCCACCGGAAGGACTTCGGGAACGTTCGCTAGGCGGGCACGAGACGGTGGGCCTGGGTCTGCAGTGTCACGTCCGCCAAGGTTACCTGTGGGGCTGGGGGCGAACCGCACTCGCACAGCAGCCCCAGTATCAGTGACTAGGCTGGCCTCATGCCGTCCCACCGTGAGGCCCAAGGCCGCCAGGGGCCCTCGAGACTGCAGGAACCTCCTCAGAAGCATCGCCATGTGGGAGTGGAACCGCACACGTGAGCTTCCCTGGCATCACTTCCTGGGACTCCTTCTAGCCAATCCGCTTCCGCCACAGTTGGTGGAGCCCCGCCCCTTAAAGGCGCAGGCCTCCTAGCCTGCAAGCCCACGCCCCCCTGCACGGGTTGCGGCCCCACTCAACCTCTAGGGGGCAGAGCCCATCGAGCGGGCGATTTTCCGTACCCGCCCCCCTCGGCTCGCGAAAGCTAAAGCGTGGCAGGGGCCGGGCCGGGGAAGCGGAGGAGGCGGGTCTCCATAGAAACCTCCACCTGTTTCCGGCCAGGCTGTGCAAGATTAGGGGCTGCTGCGGGGGCCAATCTCAGCCAGCTACCCTTTTCCCGGCGGCCTCTGCGGGAGCGGTGGGTGTTGTACACAATCATCATGGCGGCGGCCGGAGCCCCGGATGGTGAGTGTGGCTGGGGAGGCGGGCACCCGGGTTGGCCCAGTTGCCGCGGGTGCTGCGCGGGTATGCGGTTTGGTTTGGTGGGGGAGTAGCCTGGCTTGGTAGCGGTGGTCTAGCGACTCTCAGACAGAGTTCGAACCCAGGCCCAGCCCGCGGCGAGCGCCCACCCCTAACCCCCTTGCAGGCATGGAGGAACCTGGAATGGACATGGAGGCCGAGACGGTGGCGACCGAGGCGCCCGCGCGGCCCCTCAACTGCGTGGAGGCTGAAGCGGCGGCGGGGGCGGCGGTCGAGGACTCTTGTGCCGCGCGAGGCAGCCTGCAGCCGGCCCCTGGCCAGCCCCCTGGGGACCCCGCGGCCCAGGCCTCGGTCAGCAACGGCGAGGATGCGGGTGGTGGCGCGGGCAGGGAGCTGGTGGACCTCAAGATCATCTGGAACAAGACTAAGCACGATGTGAAGTTCCCCTTGGACAGCACAGGCTCCGAACTAAAACAGAAGATTCACTCGATTACAGGTAATCGCCGTGGCGCTAATAGCAACAGCCAGCCTTCCCTTCCTAATGCTTGCACTGTTAGATAGTGCGCTGGCCACCTTCCTTGCACAGCCCCCACATTGCTCACAACAGCCTCTCTACAGTGTGTGCTGGTATGCCCATTATTCGGACTGGGAAAATGAGACCCAAGATCGTAGAGCTAGTAAGTGACTGAGCTGGGATTCAGGTCCAAGTCTTTTAGGCCCAAGCTTCTAAGTAAGTGCTGCCTGAACATCTGTAATAAAAACCACCTGAAGCACTTACTGAAATTACAGCTTGTATGCACTTTCCCCTGGAGATTTTGATTGAGTGGGTCTGGAATGTGGCCAAGAATTTATTTTTAGCAGATATTTTAGGTAGTTCTCATAAGGGAAGTTTGGGAAACACTGCTGTTGACTATCATGCTGGCACTTTACAGATCTCATATTACTTAATTTTATCTCATTTACAGTGCTTTGCCAACTGAAATGATTTCTTTTTTAAACTTCCTTCATGGAGCCTTTAAACTCCGTAACAACAGGAACTTTGTTCTTACTAGTTTTTGTGTCCCTGAGGCCTGCGGACTGTCACTTAATATTGGAGTGATTGGAAGGTTGAGGAATGACTTGGAATGAGTGATGGCTAATGTATATTGTACAGTTACTGAAAATCAGGCACTGGGCTTAATGCTCTATGTTTGCCCTCTCTCTTAATTCTTAAAACAGGTCCATACAGAAGGAAGTACTGAATTGCAATTATTAAATTCTGGCAACAGGCTCAGAGAAGTTGTGAATTCCCTGAGCACCCAAAGGTGGTGGAGCAGTATTCACTTCTGGGTCTGTTACTTAAGGGCTCTGGTTCAAGAATGTTTTTTGATCCTTTAACTGTCTGCTACCTTTTCCCAAGGTCTCCCTCCTGCCATGCAGAAAGTCATGTATAAGGGACTCGTCCCTGAGGATAAGACACTGAGAGAAATAAAAGTGACCAGTGGAGCGAAGATCATGGTGGTTGGCTCCACGATAAATGATGTTTTAGCAGTAAATACGCCCAAAGATGCTGCGCAACAGGATGCAAAGGCCGAAGAGAACAAGAAGGAGCCTCTCTGCAGGCAGAAAGTGAGTCTGTCATGTGACTGCGAGTCCTGGGATGTTTGAAGCTTTGTCCTCTGGAGCCTTGGCTCGTTATATTCGCCCTAGAATAAGCTCCTTTTTGGACAGGGCCCATGATGGAAATTTATGGCAGCAGTTGGGTGCGGCTGGCTGTTGAGTGGAGGTGACAACTACCTGAGATTTGCAACTTTGTCTCATCTGGCGGGTCAGTGTGTCTCAAGTCTACTTACTTTAGGATAAGGCCTTTGTAAAGACAGGCTTTAGACCAGGTATTGAAAGGAATCAGATGTGGGTTTTCCCTAATTTAGTGCCGGAGAAAAATGCTACCACTAGAATTGCTCCCACTCCACATGCCCACCCATTTTGTACAAGTGCTTACGTTTGTTTTTGGTTTGTGCTGTCCCCCAAGTCAACAAACCCAGTTCTGGAGAGGCATGGAAATCAGTAGCTTTTAGAGGTTCCCCTCTATAACGGACCATTTCAGAAAGCCAAATGAGGCTGACTAAGGAAGGTTACTACACTTGTCCTCCTGATCCATGAAATGGGGGCCTGATTTTTCACATTCTCTGTTGCTCATTTTGGATGAAAGAGATCCAGCCTGGTGCTCCTTATAGCCATTAAAATTCTTTCTGTAAGTAGGAAAAGTGAGAGCATCTCAAGTGGTTGGAAGAACCATCTCTTGGACTCTTACCACCCAGTGAACCCCGGTCCTTGTTATGTGGCCTCTTGGCTGCTCTTAGGAGTGTCCCAGGAAAATATGTCTTCTCAGCTTAACCAGTATCTGCAGTAGAAAAGACCAGCTTGAACCAGCATCGCTTTTAGTGACCATAGGCACTGAGGCATATGGCCAACAGTGTGAGAAAGACAAAATTTTGTGTTACAGGTCCATAATGTGTGCCTCCAAAACCCAGAGTCTGAAAAACCAAAACTTTTTAGAAACTTGGCAGTACCACTTGGCCAGAATTAGTGTGAATATTCATGCTGTGCTGTAGAAGCGTTAATGTGTTTGGTGACAAGGTGCTGCCCCAGATCCCATGGAGGATATTATGTAATGTATTTTAGAACTATAAAGTCCCTAAAATTTGTGGACTTTATAAAGGGTTTCAAGTAAGGTTAACATCTAAAAGGTGTTTATTTGGACACTTTCACCCCCAGATATCTTGTTACCAAATGAGTTAATTTCCATTTTTCTGTCTTACTCTGCCACGTATCTGAAATCATCAAATATGAGCATGTCAGACGTGAATGAGCCTTCCCACTGGTCACACCCTGGAGCATAACATGCCTTTTAAATATAGGTCTTGAGTTACTAATGGTAGCTTAAGAGGCTTAAAAGTATACTCCACAATGCAGGGAAATTTTTTCAAAAAGGTGTTTGAGAGGTATGAGTCAAATTAAGGTAGTCTGTGCTGCTGTGTTTCATTGATGCCAGTTACAAGGCGTAACATGGCCTAATGAGAGGGACTGATTCTCCTGGCTTTTTATTAGGAATCTGAGGCTGACATACAGGGGGACCCTTTGCTAGCAGCCTGGTAGTATTGGGAAACCAGAGGTTTTCTGCCATATCAGTGAGGGTTTGAGCTGGCTCATGGCTTCAATTTGATGCTGGTGCTTAATTTCGATGAATGTTTTATCCTCATTCACTACCCCTAGTTCTACTTTACTAAACAGTGACTGTATCTATAAAGCCACAGTGGAGAGGAAACAAGACTTGGGCATGTGGGTCAGTCAAGAGCTGTTGTAGAGGGCCATGAGCCTAGTGAGAACCTGTAATGAGCTGCCTCAAACTCCTGGAGAGGCAGTGGGGTTAGAGACTTCTTAATGTCAGGCTGTGGAGTAACCAGCCTTTCTCTTTAGAAATGTGGCTCTTCAAGCCTTCTCTTTAGCAGGGGTTGAGGGTGGGGCAGTGGGGAGACTCCTGCAATAGGTCAAGTCTTCACTTTTTGAAGAAATGCTCCCTTCTAGGCAGTTAGGATGATTACCAGCATCCTAATGGGTTTCCTTGGAAGTTAAAATTGACAGAAATGGCTGTCATTTTTGTATGTGCCAAGGAAACAACACTCTTTGTGGTTTTCTGTTTAGCTTAATGTTCATTCCTTTCAGTGGTGATTTTGTGTGGTGGGTGGGGGGAATACAGTGTATTTGAATCAGTAATCTGGAAATCGTGGTTACTCTAGAACTTTGATGTCTAATGTCTAATATGTCAGCAACATAAAACTGATTAAAGCTCAATAAAGTTAAGAATTCGATTCCTCAGTTAAACTAGCCACATTTCCAACTGCTTAATAGCCCCAGGCGGCTCATGGCTACTGTTTTGGACAGATACAGAACAGTTCTATCCTTGCAGACATTTCTGCTGAGCACAATGCTCTATAGTATTAAGGACCTGTAATGTGTAGAAATTGAAAGCTTCTGAGCCAAAACATCAAGGCCACCTTCCTCTTTCTTAGAAAGGTAGTAACATAACTAGAATGCAGTCAACTGTTTCATATAATTATCTCTTCTGACTTACGTTATAGCAACACAGAAAAGTGTTGGATAAAGGGAAACCCGAAGACGTGATGCCATCTGTTAAGGGTGCCCAGGTAAGCCAGCTCGTTGGTGAGCATTCTGAGGGTGAACCAGGCCCACCTTCTGACTCGTTGGGGTGCCTGTGGCCATATCCTCACATCCCGTCAGTTGTCCTTTTTCTGTGTGTTTCTGATCCCTCCCTCTCTTACTATGCTCTTCACTCTTGTGCCTCCAGGAGCGCCTGCCAGCGGTACCCTTATCCGGCATGTACAATAAGTCGGGAGGAAAAGTGAGACTCACCTTTAAGCTAGAGCAAGACCAGCTGTGGATCGGCACTAAAGGTATGTCACTGCTTTTAGCCTCTTCCTGCTCCCTGCCTCAGGCGCTCAGCAGCACTTGGGCTTGGGTGCCATGCTGCTCCTCATTCTCAAATCTCTCTCTTCACTGTGCTTTGCATGCTCCTGCCTTTTTTACACTCACCTTCTGTTTGGGCTCTGTTCCCTCTTTAATTTCAGTCTGATGTCAGGACCACTTCACAAAGTGGTCTTTGGTTGCATGTAAAACCTGACGTCCCAGCTGTGTGACCTGAGGGCCAGGTCTGGTCCTCAGACAAGGATTTTATGGTTTTACACACAATCCATAAAAATCAGGAGATTTCACTTGGTATGGTGTTTTTTTTTTTTGGCTTCTCTTGAAAAAAAATAAAAAGATGTGTGCCTTCTGGACCTGCATTTTTCACATGGTAGTGACCAATAGGGGTAGTTTCGGATGGGCTGTGCTGCAGTCGTCAGTGTCCCATTTGTTTTCCATGTAGCCAGCTTTGTTCTTCTGTCACCTGCCTGGCTCCGGTAGGTCAGGATTTGCCCCTCACTAGGTGCAGTTTTCCTTGTACTAGGAGCCTGCCCTGTTGTGTGCTGTGGGTCAGGCTCTTTCTTGGCTGGGAAGTGTCTGCCTTTCTTCCCTCTTCTTCCCCCCAGTGGTTCAGTCTTGTCAGTCACCCTCCAGAATTATGTGTTTCTTTCTCTGCCACTGCTGTGCCAGTTAAGATTGCTAGCATCTTTAGACTTGGTGTGTTAAAGCAAGCTAACCTGTTCCACTGCCCCATCTGTGTTTACCTCCATCCCACCTGTCTTCCACACTGTTTTTTCCCTACTGGTTCCTGTGCTCAAAAATATTCAGCTCTTTAAGGCCAAGTTCAAATGCCTAAATATAGTGACCAGTGTTCCCAACAGTGGGGCCCCAGTTTAAAGTTTTGATCCAGCTCCTTACCCTGCTATATCCTACATATATCCCCTGTTATACCCTACGTAAATCAGCTGTTTCACTCTCTGAACCTCCCACCATGCTTTGCACAGCTCCCTGTCTTTGCTTATGCTGTACCCTTACCTGGAATGCTTTCTCCCCATTCCTTGTTATTAATATTTAATTTCCAAGGTCCTACTTAAATGTCGTCTCCATTGAAGCCTTCCCTGATACCTCCCGACCTTCCAGATGAATTGCTGTTGCTTCTGTTCCTAGAGCACTCCATTTATATCCCCAGAGCACTCATTACTCTCTGACTTGTCTGTCCCCCTGTTAGATTCCTGGAGGGAACCGAACATGCCTAATTCACCTGTTTCTGGCCAGCACTGTAGGTATTCAGTGTTCGAGGTAAATGCTAAAGAAAAGTATAGGGGGTTCCATCTCTGAGGTTAATTGGTTTCAGGGACAGGCCATTTAGTATAACTCTGCTTAAAATGGGACCAAAATTTTGTGGAAAATAATCGGGGCAGGGTGATGGGGAGGGCGATTTTTATCATTCAGAATGCAAAAATAAGTTTTTATTTGTCATCCTCTCCTGGTTCTTAAAATGGACAAAGACTGAAATACCAAAAATGCTTGAGTTTTCTAACAATTTTTTGATAACTTGCTAGATTCTTCATTCCATATCTGATTCTAACTGCATGTTCAAAGCAAGTTATACAAAATAAATTAAGTGCTTCCCCAGTTTTTCAAGGGGCCTTTGAACTCTTTAGTAGGTCAGAGCCTGTCACATCATCGTCAGTTTTCTTTACTTTTGAGCCACCCTGCCTCTGTCAGGTCCTCACTTAACTAAGGTCTTTGCAGGAGATTCTGCTTAGCCCTCCACTATTGCATTACCTTTGCTGAAATCCTGCCTGGTCCTAGACTTTTACTTTCACTTCTGGGCAGCCTAGTTGAAGGCAGTTGCTGAAGCTGATGCAGAAAGTCACGGGTGGTGGGAGGATGGGTGCAGGCAGTGAGTCTGGAGTAAGTCTGTAACTTAAGTGCTCGATGGAGCCTCGTGACTATTTTTGTGATATGAAGTTGTGTGGAAGTATGTTATAACTGCAGGGACCAGTGAGGACTTCTGTGCCTGGGTTGGGGCTTATAGGAACAGCAGCTCTCCTGCTGTGGCATGAAGGAGATCTCTAGAAGAATCTTGATGAATTTGGTCATCCAGAGCTATTGAAAGCATACTTACTCACCAGTTCGATGGAAGGGCATGGCCATGAACCACTCGTGTGTGTCTTCAAGGGTTTGCCAGGACTGAGTTTTCATTCCTACCCAGGCCATTGTGTGATGGACCTTAGTGAGGCCCAATGGCCCTGTCCCCTGAGTGTCATCTGCACTGTCCAGGGAGGACGGCTGCTCTGGGAGTTGGCTTCCTCTCAGGTGGCATGATGCTGTTGTGGAATGGCCCATCCCTGTGGCTAGTTGACCTTTCTCAGCAGGGTGCTTTACTGAGGGATGCTCAGAGCTGCTGTTTGCAGCTTAAACACTTTCTCTGCAGCTTGTGTAGGTGGCAGCACTGACAGCCTCAGGCCCCACAGAGCTAGAAGAACAAGCTCCAAGCAGGAAACGGGAGCGGGTCTGGCTGCCAGGAGGAACATGGCCTTGCTTGGTTGGTGGAATCCAGTCTGATGCATCTGACTACTGTCACTCAGGAATGTGAGCTCAGCATTTTTAAATCTTCTGAGTTTGCAGGAGAAGCCAGAAATCCATTTTTGTGTGAAATCTCTGGATATCTCATGATGGCTGGTATTTTAAAAAGTTCTTTAGAATCTTTAAGCAGTTCCGCACTGCTCAGCAGGTTCTGCCTGTGGGTCACTATTGTAGAGCCAAGGAAAGTCAAAACCTGAATGAATATCTTCAGGTCCACTTTCTCCACCCCCACGTATCAGAGACCAAGGCCCACTAATGGAAATAAAAGTTACAGCTAGATTAGTTCCCAGATCTCTTAAATTCCTGGTCTGTGTTGTGAATTTACTTATTTTCAGATTCTACTTTTTCCATATTTTTCTTTCTGCAAAGACTATAAATGGTTTTCTTTTTTTCCAACTTGGTTTAACTGCTTGCTAACTTCGCCCCATCCCCGAGGGATCTGTCACTTCTGGGTGGTGGTTTCTTGCTGCACAGGCGCCCCACACCTCTCCTGCCATCCCGTGTCCTGCTGTACTTGTCATCTCACTCCAGGCATCCCTTGCTGCTTCCTTTTTCTTACCTGCCATCCTTAAAGTTGCTGCAAAATGTCTTCTGACCCCATGTGTTAAGTGGTAACTTGCATGTTAATGCTGAGAGGTTATTAACGTTTTAAGAGAGCTGCTTCAAGCATGTGTATATGGAGAGGTGGGGCCCAGGGGAGGGAATGGGGGTGGTAGGGCAAGTGAGCAGGATCAGGGGATAGAAACTGATCTGAAACCCCCAGGCATCCCCTGTTTCCGTGCAAGCCACAGGGGCACGCTGTTGCCTCTGTTCTCAGTCCTCTTGACATTCCCATCCCATTGGCCAATGCTGGGCTTGGGCAATAAGGGTGCTTTGAAGTTTCTTGAGGATTTGTTAATTGTCAGACCTTTAGAAGTTTCTTGAGGATTTATTAATTGTCAGACCAGGAAAGATAAAACATCTTCTCTCAGATACCTTTACCATTGCCAAGTCCTGTTCCCCACTCAGTCCTAATAAGTTGCCAACACCTAAGTTTGGCTCTGGGTACATTGATCAGGAGAGCCTGTCCATTGTCCCTAGCCGGCATGGGTGACTTGAGATTATAGTAGATCCCAAAGCCACCAGCCCTGACAAGGGACCGCTGAGTCACAAGTAGAGCAGGAGGGCCTTTGAATAATCACTGTCATCCCTCTCAATTTAGAGCGGACTGAGAAATTGCCCATGGGCTCCATTAAAAATGTGGTCAGTGAACCTATTGAAGGACACGAAGACTACCACATGATGGTGAGTACCCTGGTGCGGTTCGGCCCCTAGCTGCTCCTGCTCCTGCTCCTGCTCCTGCTCACCTGGCCGAGAGCTGAGCTTTTTTGACTGAAGAGAAAACTGTTCAGAAGATGCACGGTTTTAAGATCCTCACATTTTTATCTGTTTAGAACTTAATCTCTGACCTAAATCCTAGTTCTTTTTGCAGCCTCCCTCCCCAGCAGTTTAAAGGGATGTTTTGTATCTTTGCCTCCCTCTTATTTGTAATATTTTTGTTTTTAGACCAGGAAAATAAACACAAAGAGGAGGAAGAATGGTTTGTAGGTTTTCATTTTAACTTTTGCATATAAAACAAAATCTCCCACTACCCTTGGCGTTTGCAAGAACACCAGCTAGTCCCCTCTGTCATGGTGTTGCTCCTACTAGGCTGCAGCCATCAAATGGCCAAGGACACCATGGGGAGGGTGGACATCCTGTGTTGAGGTCTACTCTGCAGAGAGCAGGCTGTACTTTGCCGAGACAGGATGTTTGGAGGCTCTCCCCAGGTCTGTGCAGAACAAAGCCAAGAATCAGTAATGAGATTAATTGAGCAGCATAGGCAAACCCCTTCTGTTTTCCCAGCACTGTTGGGAGGGGCCACTTCAGGAATGAAGTTTGGCTGCCTGAACTGTGAAGGTGCTGTGACAGGGTCTTGACTTGAGCAGTCAGGGTGGAGTGGGCTGCCTGCCATTCTCCATTCCAGGAGGCAGCATTTTCAGCAGCCAGCTAACAGTGATGCAGCTGTGTCAGCCCTGTCTCAGGGAGAAGGAACAGCAAGTGTTAAAAAGTCCAGGGCAGAAGGAGATGTTAGAAGATCCCGAGAGAAATGAGGATCTGGCAGTATAACAGTTCTCTCTGGGCAGGTGGCAGATCCCCTGGCTGTAGGAGAAGTCAGTTGTGTCCCCTCTCCCCCCCTGTCCGTGCGTCTCTGCTCTGAGGTGCTGATGCAAGGCCTTGATTGGGATTGCCATCCCTGGGGTTCAGAGCTCCTAGGATGCCCCGTGGCAGTGACAGTGTCGTCACTGGGGCTTCCCGTTGGGCCCTCTGGCAGCCCGTACAGCTTTGGCTGTCTGTAGTCTCTCAAGATTGCTGGTGGATTTGTTTCACCAATTATTTTATTTTCTGTTTTAAAAGTTGGTTTAAATATTTCCAGCTGGACCTCTTTGCTCCCTTTTGAAATATTATCTTAGCAGTGTGGCCCTGTAGGGTTTTTGACCCTAGCTTTCAAGCAGCCTGGTGAGAGAGATTTCAGATGAGTGGCCCGTTTTGGACATCATTTAAGGAACAGGTTTGGATCTAGTCTAAATGCTCATTTCTCTCTGGATGCATTTCTGATGGAGGGCAGTTCTAATAGCCCCTCTCTTATCCGGACACCTAGCACCTTTACCTTTGTCTTACTGGAAGTATTTATGTCCCTCTTTGCAGGTGCCATCTCACTGGTTATATTACCGTATTTCCGTTCACATTAGAAGAGGGTGGCTGTGCTTTTTCACTGGTAGATTAATGTTAAGCAGTACAGAACAGAATACAATAACAAGCCCATCTATCTATCCATCACCAAGAAATGACTATTGTAAATATCCTGTAACTTGCTTTAAGTCTTTTTTTTTTTAAATAAAAGAAAACTTACCAACAGTGAATATGTCCCCATTGTCTTCCCCTGCCTCATTACCAATGTAATGATTTACCATGTGGATCCTTCCTGTCCACCTGTGCTTTTATTTTCATATATATCCATGAACACGATACACTATTGTTTGTGTTTTTTCCATTTCCATAAATGGTATCATGGTATGTATTATTCTGCAGCTTGCTTTTTTTGGTTTGCCATTATAATCCATCTGTATTAACTATAGATCCAGTTCATACCTCTGAAAAGTAATCCATTGTTCATCAGAGTAAGCCATGTCACTTTTAATTTTGTGTTCCCTTACTGATGGATGTATAGGTTTGCAAGATTTTATCATTTCTGACAGAGCTGCTTTGAGCATTCATACCTGTTTTCTGGTACATGTGTGATGGTTTTTCTAGGGCAATGGTTCTCAAACTGGTCTCTGGGTCAGCAGCATTACCATACCTGGGAACTTGTCAGACAGGAAGGCTGTCAGTCCCTCTCCCTCCAAGCCTCCCAATCAGAAACTCTAAGGGGTGGGCCCACCTATCTGTTCTAACAAGCCCTCCAGATGGTTCTGATGCACCCTCGGGTTTGGGAACCACTGCCTTGGGGTTGACTGTGCATAACTCTCCCCTTCTTCCTTCTCCTCTTCCCCCCCCTTTTTTTTTTTTTTGACAGAATGTACCCCATGTACACAGTTTCCTTCACCCTTCCCTTCTGATTAATTGACTTCACTTCTCAGCCCTCCTTGGGTGTGTTTTGCTGCCTGCTCAGTCTCCCGACCTCTGAAGTACCACTTGGTTTTCCTTTTTCCCTTCCAGGCATTTCAGTTGGGCCCCACAGAAGCCTCTTACTACTGGGTGTATTGGGTTCCAACTCAATATGTGGATGCAATCAAAGACACTGTGCTGGGGAAATGGCAGTATTTTTGAAAGCACTTTCACCTCTGGCCCAGGAAACTGACCCAAAGTGAAGGACATTTGCTGGGAGAGGCCTGCAGCAGCCCTGGATTTCAGAGTTCTGGAACTTTGTTGAAAAAAAAAATCTATATCCAATCTAAGGCGATGTGGTGACTGAAGCCAGAGGTGATGTACTTTCACCATTAGCTTAATTTTAACTTAAAATCACTAGTTCCCTTTCTTGCAGTCAGCTTCATACCATTTTTGAAATCCATACGGTGGAAATCAATAAATCTGAATTCCGAACATGTTGTGTGGAATACTCTTAAGTGTGTTTGAGAGTAGCTCTGCCAATTTTGTTTAGAAAGGAATGATCAAAAGCTTTCTGGTTTCTTCGTTTTTCCTTTTTAAGTGATTTCAACAAATATTTTCATAAATTTTTGGTTGCGAACATTTGGACTGCGTTGTGATGGATTGGGGTAAATTTTTTTTTTCATATAAAATTGTATGCAAAATGGGGGGTTAGTAAGCCATATTTTTCTGTCCATTGGTTTAGATTTAATTCTTTCCCTGTTTTATTTTCTCACTTCCTAGATTGGAGTTTTTGTTTTAAAAACCCAAAGACGTCAGTTCCGCTTTTTGTACCTCATCAATGCGTCCATTCCTGGCCTCCCTCCCACGGTGCTGCTGCTCATGAACGCGCAGTGGGAGAGGGAGAGCTGGTGGCCTAGGGCAGGGAGTTCTCAGACTTGCTGTGGTGTTTGCTAGGCAGCAGAGTATTTCACAGTGGCTCCTGTCTAAACGTCTTGCCCTTTGGCTCCAGATTTCTGCGGCATTCCACTGCCAGGGGGCTTGTGGCCTGCAGTTGTCACTGATCTGGCTTTGAGGCCCAGCCTGGCATGGGTGTGCCTGAGCTGAGCTGCTGAAAAGCCACAGCTCCCAGGCAGACAAAGGCCTCTTGGAGGAAGAGCCAGGAGAAGACGGTTTGTACAGCCATTTAGCCACAGACCCAAGTCCTTCTTTCTTTAGAAGTTTCAAGAAATTCTTAAGAAGTCTAATGATTATTTCAGTTACGCTTCTCCATTTGGTCCTTCTGCTCATGTATTATGTTCAAGTGTCCTTCATCCCAAGTTTAGAGATGCTGCCTTTCTTTAGAAGACATTTGACCTAATGGGTTGGCTGATGTAGTTAAACATCAAAAATGGGTGTTGTGATTAGCTCACCCTCTTCTGGTTTTCACCCTCCTGCTCATTGTACCCATGAACTTCTTTTGTCCCTTATGGCTTTGATTGACTCTGAACTGAGGAACCATCTCTTGGTGAATGGTCCTCTCATGCTGTTTGCTGTTTCTCTGCTGCTGTGTGTGCAATCCTGCTTTCACTGGCTGCAGGCTCTCAAAGTAAGGTTTGGCGAGAGATTTTTCCAAACTTCACATTTTGGATTCTAGGCTGTTACCCCTCATCCTGTGAATTGTATTAGCATGTGTTCGCCTAAGGTGACTATTCTTTGTGAGCCAGTTAATGATGATATTCTATGCCCTTCCCTTCTAAGCTATAGTTCAGGAATCCAGCCCATATAGCCAGACTCATGCTTTTCATGGTGTAGTCAATGCCAAGTTAAGCATCTAGGCAGGAAAATCTACTCTTGCTTGCTTTGGGGGCATATGTGAAGTGAAGCACCCAAGAAACTGTGTGTATTCATCATCCCTTGACGAAGGAGCAGTAGCCACAGCTTTTCTGTCCTTGTTGGCCTGCGGTTCCCGGAGAGACCACCTCTGTGTTCCTTGCTGCCCCCCTCTGCAGCTGGCAGGTCTCCAGGGGAAACGATCAGGTAGGAAGCAGAGCGCAATCTCAATTTGAACACTGCCCTTTGTGTTGGCCAATGTCCCTGTCCTGGAGACTTGTCCTGACTGTGGCACACCCACTTTTGTTCTTGAAGTAGGTGTCTCTGTCCCCGGACTGGCCTCGCAGTGCTGCACAGGGAGGCCCTTCCCACCAGGTCTCCTTGTCTGCCCTGTTTGCGTGGCTGTCTGCTCCACCTGAACCCCTTTCCTCCCAGTGAGAGCGTGTGCTCCATTGTCTCCCTGCTCCCCAAGGGCCACACTGCTTCTCTCTCAGGCTGGTGTCATTTCAAGACAGGACCAAAGCCTGTGTGAGCCTTTTTATTTTAAGTAAAATGGTGCTTTTTTCCTTACTTCAAGATACTATATATTAATAATATAAATGACATCTTTTCGTACAAGCTGTTTAAGTATTGCTTTACAGAGCTCGCTAAATCTGCTAGCACAATCGAGAGCTCTGGCTCCTGGCCCTGTCTGCATGGAGACCTTGCTGGGAGCCTTCGGGAGAACAAAGGTGGACAGCGCCAGAAGCCACTGGCAGAAGTGTTTGCTTACATCCTTGTCTGGGTCATGGCAGTATTCACTATTTTGTTGAGCAGTCTTTTCCTAATTCTCTTACGGTCTAGAATGTACTGATGATATCTGTGTTGTTAGCAAACTGAAACACTCTTCCCCTTTAGGAAAGCATTTAGTGTTAATTTTTTCCTCAGAATAATTTCTGTACAGGTCCTTCCCTGTTGGAGGAGCCTGGTTCTTTCCCTGGGGTCATGACCTTCCCTCACTGTGGCAAGGAAGAGCGGGTTCCCAGAGGGGCTCCAGCTTGCAGGGGATAGGCAGGGGGCTCGCCTTCTTCTGTACCAGAAGCCTGTCTGAACCTCCTGCTGGGCTGCTTTCTCTTCTAGAACTTGCACTGGTGGGCTGCCTGCCTGTCTTTGCTTGCAGACAGCATGCCTTTCTTTCCCTCCCTGAGGCGACTTGGCAGATTGATGACCAGGTCATCCCTGCTGAGCCCCGGTCCCTCTCAGCCCTGTTTCAGTCAGTCTGGTCAAAGAACTTGACTCACAAGTTGCTCAAACTCTTCGGTATTAAGTTAATTGAAGATGGACCTTCTGCAAGTAGTGTTAGCTCTTTTTAAATGCAGTTGAACTGAGCTAAGGATGCACTTTCCTATGATCCTGTGGACACAGGAGGGGCCGGAGAGGCCTGAGTAGGCTCCTCAGTTGCTGCTTTACCTTACCAGGGCCAAAGAGACTGACTCTGCCACATTGCCACATCTCTGAAAAGTTGCCATATTTCAGCCAGAATGGACTTGCTTTCCCCTTGTACTTGAACCATGTGCCTGGAGGAGCTGTCCTGGGCTCTTGCACTTGGCCCACCTGTCTTCACCAGGGGCAGATGAGGGGACCGGGTAGACCGGGCATGCCGAAGGCCATGCAAGGCAGGCTTGCTTTCCACCCCATCTTCTGAGGGAGAGCGCTTTCTCTCCTTGCCTCTGTTCATGCCTGTTGTCTTGGAAAAGGATGGTCCCTTTGTCTTAAGGCTTGTCATAAAGTCATCTCCAGTTAAGATTGGGCATGCTGGCCTTTCTGAAGCTGCAGGTAGTCAGGAGCCCTCCAATGTACAGAATATCTGGTACATACACCTGCCAGACTGGGTGGTTCTACTGCTTTCTAAATGTCTAAGAACCTCTTTCTTTGCTCTCTTAGAGAGTTCCGCAGAATTATTTGACAATATACGTAAGTACCATGTTTCCTTGTGGTGTACACTCTGTTCTGCGTTTTGTTTTTCAGTCAAATGCCTGTTTGGGAGGAGATGAACGTATTTAGTCTATTAGATTTGCGCTGCTGGATTTTTTTTTTTTAAGTGTAATCTTGACTAGCTGTCTTATTGTTTATCCTGTAAGATTAGTCTATCAATTAAAGTTTGATAATTAATTGTGTCTCTCTTTCATTCCAATTTTTATGCGCCTGACCCATACTGGGTATTAACCATATTTGGAACTAGGCCCAGAGCTGGTCTTTTTGC